ATTAAATCACAAATGAAATTCCAGCACATCTTTAGCAACGGACGAACTAACTTGAGGGATCTTCATTAAATAACATTCCACGTACAAAACGACACTCTATTATGTGATGGATACTTTTATCGTGAAAACACAAACGTTCTTTTTGTAATGGTAGTTTTTCTAGTTAATTGACCAAACAAATCTTGTCAGTACAATTTTTTCTTAAATTTCTAGTATGACACTTTTGACATTAAACATTAAATTTAATAATATAATATGACGAGGGTAATGTTTATTTTTAAAATTTTTATTTTTTACTCATCAGGGCAGTATAACAACCCCCCCCCCTTTTTTAATGCAAGTACACGTCAGTTTTTAGTACGGAGCATTGTATCGATTAAAATCTTCGATTGAAGTCTTACAATCGATTAACGTATCGAGGATGAGTCCGGTGGTAATATAAGTGGTGGTAAGTGGTCGTCGATTTCGATTGGGCACTCCAATCATCATCAGACCCAAAAGGCGAATAAGGTATATGTAATAAGGTTTAATAACACGTACAACGTAGATCAAGAGTTTATTTAGGGGAACTGTATCGAGTAAAGGGGTTTCTCTTTGAATATTTTGAGTAACAAGACAACAAAAAACTTAATAAGCAAATTTATGGTGTGTTAATCAAATCCCCCTCTCTTACCAATTGATGATCGACACAAAGCTGTATACTGAATAATCATCTTCCTCAAGTCCTAAGTTTGGAGATTGACTCGTACATGATCTCATCCTACACTCATCTCCGTTCATACTTGGCTTAAAATACCTAACCTTCAAACCTTCGTATGGTCGCCATTTAAATTGAAAGTATTAAAGTATTAATTAGAGCAGATTAAACAACTATGATAAGAATATTGGCATTAAAACTAAGAATATTAGCTTACAAGACAAGTTCGTAAGCATTATAACATAAGCTCTGTAAATGTATGAATTGTGTACAAGTTCTAGGCAGATCGCATGTGACCGACCAAACAGTTAAGCAAATAAACCAATTCGTTCCCCGAAGTAAATAATGTAATAGATTGTGTCACGATGGTTTGTCAACAATTGGTTCACCTGAAGCAATGCTAATGGTATTTGTCGTCGCTTTGTTGTAAATTGATATATAGATTCGACCCGACATCCATATCCCGAGACTCGACATAAAATGGCGCGCGAGATGTATCGATGTTGATTTATAATTAGCTTATGTTGATTCGGCTGATTCATTTCACTGGTTATTCACTCAGTTTTAATCCACCCTTAAGCCTAATCAATAATTTCGACGGACTTCATTATCTGTTTGGCTCTTTATCCAGGAAATTCATCGCCCTTTGCCCTTTGAAAATACTGTTTGGTCGTTAAAAAGGCGGGATTATTTTATTTGCCAATACAGTAATCTTTCTAGTGTGAAATATATTTTAAATCTCTATCATTAATCCAATTTTTGCTCGTAATTCGTGCACTATATTCGTTTCAATTTATCTTTTACTATCAATACTTACAGGTTGTTAAATTTAACAGACCAATAAGATTTTTGAGGCGAAAGTCCGATTTGATGTTAACAGTTAACAAATTGTCAGCTTTATATTGACACCTATCGACGGCATGTGATAGTTTTTTAGTTTAGTTGTTTACGAGAATGTGGTTATAAAACCAAGATAAAGTGTACATTTTTTAATCGGGTTTAAAATGATTTTTTTATGTTCAAACAAAGTTCCACTGAAAATTACTTTTCCAAAGTAACAAGAAAGATGTAAAACCTTATCAAATGTGACACCTAACTTTTTTTCTATGTTCAATGGTAACCTTTTGAACCATAAAGTCCCTCACATTTAAAAGCTATGAAGTAGAAGGGGGAAGCCTTTTAGAAAAAGGTTCCTTTATGTTTTAAAGAAGTCATAAAAGTTTTTAGTATTTACAATAATTTAAGGTAAAATATATATATTTCGATAATGAGTGTCCTTTATGTTTAAAAAGTGTTTACTATAAAGGAATATAAGATGACACCTCTAGTAAGATTACTTTCAAGGGATTTATAATAATTTAAAAAGAAAGTCAAATATTTTAACGAGCTTATTTTCTCCCAAATTAATTTTAAAAGAGTTGGTTTATAATAGGCTACACGTTTTGAAACTAAACATCCATCAAAGTTACTAAAATAGTGTAGCTTAAAATTTTGATTTTTTTTTCTTCTGTTAAATTTTTTAAATGTGTTCATCACTCAGATTATTGTTAGTGCAACTACAGTAATGCTTTCGATGTAAACTAAATATCAAATCAAATTACGTCCATCAATAAAATGACCAAGAGTTAGTACAGTATTCAATTATCATATTGATCCGATCAAGAAGTTGTTCGTCGTCGAGTTATGACGCCAATATCCACTAACGAGCATTCAATAAAGGGAATTCCTCGTTTAACGAGGATCCGAATATTCGGTTTATTGCTGACGATTGGATTTTAATATTCGGGATGCATATTTGAATAACGTACGTGTCGTTATGTTCGCGTCGTTTGCTTTCTTTTGTTGCGTTCATAAAGCTATTTCCCAACAATGCCGGTAAGTAAATCAACTATTTCATCAAATACGTTGACGGAGATTGCCATAAATATTTTGATGGAAGTTACCATAATTACCATCCTCTTGGCCATTGCCCATTTCTGGATAGGTTGTGTTAGTAAAATAATACATATATCATAAAAACTTTCAAAATGAACAAAATACGTAAACATATATTTAACAACTTGAGTGTCAGGTGGCATGAAAGTAATTAAAAAAATCAACCGTACATCAAAATAATCCTCCAAGAAATAGAAGCTCCGTTGTCAGCACCATGGCTTTAACATCTTTTTGAACAGTTTCGGCTCCAGGTTTTTAATGTTCTCATATATTACAAGCCATTAATGGAAAACTGCCATTCACTTTAGAAGTACGGCATATGGCAATAGAGATCAGGTTGTTGTTTCTTAAATTTTGACCGCAAAACTGCCCTCTTATTTCGAAATCAGCTAAATTATCTTTTACGTAGAGGAGGGAGCTCAATATGTAGTTACCATAGACTGTCAGGATGCCAAGCTCTTGAAATAAAGGTTTGCACTGTTGCCTATACTCAGCTTCTGCCATAATCCTCGAAACCTTGTTCTGAAGCAGGAGGACTCTCTCACATGCTGCAGAGTGCACCCACAAAAGCAGACCAAAGCAGATGTGGGTTGGGTATGAAACAGGGAAAGGTAAATGAAGACAACAATAGCAAATTGGCAAAATTTTCCAGTTTTCTGATAAGGGAAATTCCTCTTGACAGTTTCTTGCACACCATGCTGACATGATCAGTTCAATAACGTTTGCTGTCTAAATGGAATCCAAGCAGTTTTACTTAGTGACTTTCTAATTCAACTCTCGCGAAGGAGCAGATGAGCTTATGAGTCCTGTCTTTGTTGAGACTTAGCTTACTACCCTTAAACCAAGCACTGGCATTACGGAGGTGGTTTGCAGTAGGTCATTGTTGCGAGAGATTATCGTTGTGGTTGGAAAATTAAAAAAATATCGGTCCTTAAAAAACAGATGACAGGGGGTGTTATCCCTGTTTCTTATACAGGGTTAACTCTAGTTTCCTAGATTATATTCTGTTAGATTCGTACGATGTCCGCACACCAGGATGTGAGTTATTAATACGAAGACGATTAAACAATTTACATTGTTTAATGAATGTAACGACAGCTTAGCTACTTGTTATGATCATCTGGTGCTTTAGTACTACTTGTGAAACACCCAATCATGCAGTTTCGAACTATCAAAACACTTTCTCAGGATCCCCGACGAATCTCCGATTACTAGGCGAGCACTAGATTCACCACTCACTCAGCAAACCAGATTTGATCGATACTTTAATGAGATTGAATAAAGCTACTTCTCAGCAGTCTATCTACATTATAATTTATGAGCATCTGAGTGGTCGACTATTGGTTAATAGCAGGTATTTAAACCTTTTCTAATTTATTTTAACACTATTGACAAAATATCGAGCCAGAGGTCGAATAGGAGTGATATTTCTTCAGGTATTCCTCCTCTAGTGACTCGATTAGGCGTTTTCAGAACCATTATAAAGACATTGACGAAATCTACTTCTCATCAGTGTGTCTATAATCGATGATCATCCCAGAGGTCGACTAGTGGTGACTGTTGATATTTCTTCTGACAGTCACGGGAGATAGTGATAACTAATGGCCCGCGAGAAGGATGAATCAACAGTCGACCAACGCCACGTGAGGTTATCTTATCTTATCAGCAGCACGCGACACGCAACACGACATGTCGACAACTGGTTTGGAATAAATGGCTTCCTTCATCGCACAACTGTGTTTACACGTTACACGCCCTCCGTGATATCCTCTAGTATAGATACGAGGCTGATTATCTAAAGATATTATCAGTCTTATTTTGAACAATTACATCGCTGTATTTTATCTACAATGTTAGTCTTCGAAGACAGGAAAAATGTTTGTTTAGACATACGATGCAAACATTTGGCATTTAATATAGTTTTTTAAGCTGCACACTGAGTGCGATTATAGTCGTTAATCTATTGTAGCCCATGCTAGTTTGAGCTTGAACTCTAGAATGAACCACTTTTAATACAGTACCAAACTGCAAATTGAGATTATTGTTGGATTTCTATATTATATCACACTGTCGAGATTGCACAGAAACAAAGTGGAAGATGTTTATCTGGTACTTAATAATTTATGTTAGCATCTTACACGCCATTGTTTATCTTACACTTACACAAAAGTATACCTAGGCCTATTGAAGTCAGCCTTGAGCATACTCATGGAACATTTATGTGTGACTAAATGCTTTGTTGATAAGTATATGACTAAATACACACCCACTGCACAGTGATAGTACTGTGTGTAGCCTGGTGTAGTTGTGTTATGTATGTTAGTCTCTTGTGTCGTGTTTATTCTCATGGACCTGTTTTCTGTTCCAGCAATGAAGCTGTGCTGGCTTGTTCTACTGTGGTGCGTTTTGGCGGTGCTGGCAGAGGATGACTGGAGCACTTCTTGTCCTCCAGAGTGTAAATGTAAATGGGCCTCAGGCAAGAAGGTCGCAGAGTGCTCCAGCCAAGCGCTGACTGCAGTGCCGGACCATCTCAGTCCAGAGATTCAAAACATTGATCTTTCCAACAACAACATGGTTTCACTGCCCAGTGAGACGTTCCGGGCAGTGGGACTCGTCAATCTCCACAAGATATTCCTACGTGAGTGTGGCATCCAAGAACTGCACAAAGATGCATTCAAAGGCCTTCAAATACTCATAGAGTTGGACCTGTCAAACAATAGGATACATTCTGTTCATCCTTTAATATTCAAAGACAATGTGAGATTAAGAGTTCTTCTTATGCATCACAATCCAATTACGAAGCTCGAAGACGGGCTTTTCACTAATATGTCTTTCCTTCAGACAGTGGACATGAGTGATTGTCATTTAGGTCATATAGGGCATAAAACGTTTATGAATGTCACGGCTCTTCAGCATCTACATCTGAACGGCAACAACTTAGTCCATATGAAAGTTGCGGTGGTAGAACAACTGGTCAGGTTAACTAGTCTGGTGCTTCACAACAATCCTTGGAGGTGTGACTGCCACTTGAAGGCACTCCGCGACTGGACGATAAACAAGAACTTGTACGCCCAGCCTACGTCGTGTGCTGAACCTCCTCACCTCGCCAACAAGCTGTGGTCGGACATCGAATCCAACGACTTTGCCTGCAAGCCCCAGATTGTCTACCCTCCGCCAGATAAAGTCACCACAGTTGAGGCGTATGGTGGAGACGTAACTCTGAGCTGCAAAGTCATTGGAAATCCTCCTCCTGACGTCTATTGGGTCATCAACTCAAGAATCATCTCAAACAACACAAGATCTAGTAAGAACCTCATTTTAGTTGACTAAACAAATTTGTTTGTTGTTTGTTTGTTAATTTTTAAATCTTTGGATTAATATTTTTCGTGGTGATGATTTCAGCAGACACAATCCCAAACAAATTGCAAACCCTTTTAGGTACAGCTAATAAATCACCTTTTTAGCACCAGAATAATTTGAAAATTTGTAAACCTTTGTAACTAACAGATGTAGTAACGCCACATTTCCCATCCTATTATACAATAATGCAGTTGTCGGTTAATTACAACACATTTTGGATTGATTAGAGTAAATTTTTGAATTTCATTCTTAAACAATGCAATACTAAATTCTTAATCTATTGGTTTGATTGATTTTCTTCATTTGTTTCAGTAAGAAATTGAAAGTCAACATTGAGGTTTTTCTGCTATTCAAATTAAGTTACTTGATGACAGTTGTGTGGTAATCCTGTGGTGTATGTTTCTCAGGCTATGGAGACTCCAGGTACAGTGTGAGGGCTGGAGGAGGATGGGTGAACCTGACCATTGGTCGTGTGAGGATGCAGGACCGAGGAGAGCTGACCTGTGTGGCAAAGAGTCCAGGAGGTCTGGACGAGAGGAATGTCACCTTGGCAGTATCTGCCAATGGTGTAGGACCATCATTCCCACCCAGGTAATTAGAACGCTGCTGTGTTATTATTGATAAGATTGGTTCCATTGAATCGGAATGACAAGCATACACAATGAAACTGTAACAGCCAAAATTATCACGGATTTAAAAGATAATTTGAAATAAAATTTCTTGTAATTTTTTGTTGAAAATAACAAACGTAAATAGCAAAAATTAGTTGTAGATCCAAAGCTCATTATGAACTTGGTCAATATTAATGTTGTGCAGCTCTATGTTTGTCTGATTTATTCTAAACAACGTTTCAAATCTCCCAAATATAATTGTGATTACCTTATCAATTACCTAAATTTGCTGAGTAGCTCAGTTGTTTGCCCATAATCAAAAGACCTATAGTTCAATCCTGAGATATGTTAGTAGCTTTTGATGGTTTGAAACTGAACCACACAGTCCTTGATCATTGGGCTTTTACAAATTATCCTGACTAATAAAACAGCTCATCTTTGTCACTAACAAAGCTACACAAGGCATCTCATTTGATTCTACAGTCAACTTCCACTCATATTTGGATAAATATTTGCACCTATGCGTCTTATCTCAATTGGTAATACAATAAATAAAATGTTTCTGTAATTACATGTTAACACACATTCTACACACAAGCCAGAATCTCGCCTTAAAATTGTCTTTAGCTGATCCATAAGGATACAAACTTTAAAGGGAGTATTGTTCATGAATCTTATAATACTTTGATGTTACAGGTTTGAACAAAATTGGGTTTTGATCCTTTTCCTGATCACGGGACTTATGGCTCTGCTCCTGATTGTGCTGTTGCTATGCTGCTGCCTATGTCGTCGCAAGAGAGGCCGACCTCCACCCAAGAAGATGCTGGCAGATGCACCCAACGGTGACATAGCTCACCCCGAGAAGAGTCTTCTTACTGTTGTCAATCCAGTCCAAAAGCCACCTCGAAGATATGAGGAAAAACCAACAGAGCTTCAGGAAGTCAATAGACAGCTTCTAGATGAGACGGGTGAGTTGATTGATAGTGTTTCTATTCTATGAGGAAAAGAAATTTACTTTTTGGATAATATCTAATTTTCTTGGTTATGTAAACTATTATGGACTATAATAGCAGTAAAAAGCCATAATGTTCCACCAGTGTGCTGGGAATAAAAGCGTACAGGCAGGGCCGTATTTCCTTCAAAGGCGGCAAGTAGGATCCAACCTATGGGGGGGGGGGCTCACAGGATTTTTTTTGGGAATTGAAAAATTAATTTCAGGTATAAAATCAATTACGGCAGTGAATTCCAACCCAATTAGTACTCATGCCACTAGTGTTAGATCGAGGCGGCTGCGATGGTACATGGTGATGTTTTTAGTGAAGGAATGTTTGGGCTGTATTCCTGGCTGTGTTAGCTTTTGTTCAGATCAACAATGTAAAATCAACATTATATTAGAAAACAGAGAAGATTACCTTGTTTGTTTAATCCAACACAAATTTAAGGTTTGATAACTAATGCTATCATGACTTAAAATGGTTACACTTTACGTATACGATCAAAATTGTAACTATTGTACTCAGAGCTCATTCCTTTACTAGGGTATATGAACTGCAAAAATGGTTATCCTTCTCATCAAAGCACTGTTATGATTCAGAAATAATCGGGACTGCTAGTATGAATCTCAGAACAGGCATTCTCATGTTAGCTTCTATTCTTAAAATTCATCCTTTACATTGAAGATTTTATGATTTTTTATAACATTTTTCTTGCAGGACAATGTGTTTCATGTTAAATATATGTTATTGATTCCAAAATAATAAACACATTCTCCATCCATAATTAACTCTATGAAACTTTTGGTACCCAAAACATTATTGTCTTATGAAGAGATGTGCACAATATTTTTGTGCTATGAAATCGTATGCCAGAAAAATAAACAGTGAATTAGGGAGGTCCGATTTTGAAGCTGATCTTTTATTTTTGTGATCGCTGAAAGGGTCTGTGAGATAACTCGATAAAAACCACTATTTTGCTGTGATCGCCGGACACAATAAAGATTTCACTAGAATCCCAGGAGGCTGGTGATTGTGGTAGAGATCTGCACAAAAAGTGAAAATTTACTATGTATCCTCAATGGTACTACACACTATATTTTAAAATTTAAAGTGAATTGATAAAGCATATGAAATTAAATTGATAAGCCGTACGTTGCAAGTTGTAGACTACCTGCACTTTGGTGAGTTGGTGGCTCAGTCGATAGTGTCACGGACTACAGGCCCAAGGCAGCAATGTCGTGGGTTTGGATCCTGATCACTGCCGCAAACATTTGATCAGTACAGTTCACTCTTGTACTGTACCGGCTCACCCCGGATGCTTTTCCTGGCTTTTGCTGGATGCTTTTCACACACAGACACATAGTCTATGTGTACGGGCAAATGCAAGGTTAAAAGAGGCTGAAAAGAGGACTAAAATTAATTTGATATAGAGTCTGCGAAAAAAGAATTTTGGAATTTTGAACGGCAGTTGCTTGGGGACTATTAATAGTAGTTAACGCAACGATAAAGATGGTGTTAACGACACAAGTAGAAAATTTAAGGTACGAGCCTTGGTAAGTGTCAAAATTGAGAAAACTAGCAAAGATTTTCTTTATCATTGGGTGAATTTATAATAAATTGAATTAAACAATTGATTTTAACTCTGCTAACCACAGAGCGCACTGTGACTTCTGTTGCGCTATAAACATTGTACTGGTGAATGGTGTCAGGGGTGTGAGTCACAATATTGCGGCCTGACACCGCGCATCCGTATGCGTATGACAAGGTTAACGTTACTCCCTTATTACACAGAACCCAAAACTTGGTTATTTCAACTACAAATTTATGTTTGAATTGTTTAGTTATCTTGAATCGTCCCCAAATAATGACGGTTTACAATCCCAGCATTCTTTTTCAGAGATCCTGTATTTACTTGTTACTAATAGATGTCTCACGTTTTTAGGGACCAGTGTGGGAGGTGACTTTGAAGAGAGATCCACAGAGTCCATGACTACCACGCCGCCTCTCATGGAGCCGCCCCACTACCCCCCAGACTTGCTGGCGTTCCCTCGTGGTATGAGTACGCCTCCACACCTCACATCTCCAGTGCACGGAACACTCCCATACTCCAGGTCGCAGTCACCCTTCTCACCTACACGCCCAGGGTAAGCTTGTTGTAGTAAACACTTGAATAAACTTTGAGATGATTTTGAATAGGTACTTAAAGTACAGGTTTTCTGGGGACAATTAGTCTTGGTTTGTGATATTTTATTTTACAATTCACAAAAATGCAATTTCAAAGTGCGTGGTTCTGTATTTTGTAAAAATTTTAAGTCTGGTAAAATTATTAGTTTACGCAAGAGTTTAATGCCCTTTTGAATGGGTTGCAAATTAATACCTAACCTATGTGAGTCGGTGGCTCAGTTGGTAGCGTCGTGGATTTCGTACCCAAGGCAGTGATGTCGTGGGTTCGGATCCTGGTCACTGCCGAAAACATTTATCAGTACAGTTCACCTTTGTACTGTACCGGCTCACTCCTTCCTTTGCTGTTAACGATCCACGCACGGGCGTTTAGTCTATGTAGACAGGCAAATGCAAGGTTAACCCTCGAGGAGGCGCTTCACCAGCAAAACGGGAGCAGGCACATGCGGAGTTTTATTCCACAACACTAAATAGCATAAATTTTACCCATTTTACTTGTTGTTATAACGAAATATTGTATGTAAGTGTTCAATAACTAAATCGGAAACCTAATTTCTTTGTTAATAACATTATTTGTTTAACTTAATATGAGTAGTATTTCAAATAAACATATTGAGCTATTTTCTAGTATAAAGGTATGTTATGAGAGAGGGCGCTTGCAGAGTTTTGTTCCGCAATAATGCAATTATATGCATGCAAACAAAATATATTTGTTAATAATTATAAATGAAATAATACATTTAAACAAGTTTATTATGTTTTATGTATAAAATATACTTGCAGTTTGACAAGAGTGCATGAGGAAATAAACTCTGCGCTAAGAACTTACGTGATAGGGCGCACGCAGAGTAAACCTCCGCAAACTGACACCACGTCACTGAATTGCAGTTGACAACAATATGAGGAGGTATTCGGGGGTAAAAATAGCTTAGGAGCATTCCCAGGATGAGGTGCAAGAAGTGTAGAGCTGGACACGACTGCCGACATCCATTATGCATATTTATATTAACAAACACTACAAGTGCGGAGGAAAACTCCGCAAGCGCCCGCTCGAGGGTTAAAAGAGGCTGCCAACCTCTTAAAAAAAACAATTTCACTAGCAATGGGTTGCAAATTAATTTATCTATACGTATACTTTATCCTACTTTTGTTGCTCGGTTGGGTGCATCCATAATGTTTTATCCACAGAAGCCCATAAAGAAACCATAAAAAAACTAGGACCGGAGGATTTGTTAGGGATGGGAGGTCATGATTTCTTTAGTGTATGAGAAAAGAAAGCCCACCTACAGTTTGGCCAAAAACTCTGTGTGCACGGACGGGTCGCTACTAGACGAATTAAAACATATGGGTACCGATTATTAGCAATGGATAGGGGTGAGTGAGTAGCAAGACACAAATGTTTAACAAAAGTTTTTTTTTAAGAGGTTGGTGGCCTCTTTTAACCTTGCATTTGCCTGTCCACATAGACTAACTGCCTGTGCGTGGATCGTATACAGCAAAGCAAGGGGTGAGTCAATACAGTACGAAGGTGAACTGTACTGATAAAATGTATACGGCAGTGACCAGGATCCGAACCCACGACATCGCTGCCTTAGGCCTGAAGTCCGTGACGCTACCAACTATCCCCCAGTACCCCTGCCAACCTCCTTGCCTATCCCCAACCGCATCTGGTCGGGCGCACAGAAACTTTGGCCGAACTGTACCTCCAGATAAACACAACCATCCTAAAGCCGCATCCCCACTATGCCGAATGGCATAGATTGGCATTGCTGACTGTGTACCTTTTTTTCCATCTTAATATTCAGGTTTGTTTTGTGTCTAGGAGCATGATTTATCCTGGCTTGTTATTGTGTCATTGGTCTGACATGTTGAACTCGTTTAGTCTATTTTGTGTTGTGTGACTAGTCTGACACTCTATTTTGTGTTGTGTGACTAGTCTGACCCTCAATTTTGTGTCGTGTGACTAGTCTGACTCTCTATTTTCTGTTGAGTTACTAGTCTGACATTCTATTTTATGTTTTGTGACTAGTCTGACACTCTATTTTATGTTGTGTCACTAGTCTGACACTCTATTTTATGTTGTGTCACTAGTCTGACACTCTATTTTATGTTTTGTGATTAGTCTGACTCTAGTTTGTGTTGTGTGACTAGTCTAACTCTCAGTTTTGTGTTCTGTGCAGGTATGTAACTATCCCCCGACGGCCCCGTGTGCCCAGCTGGTCCAGTGCCCCCACTCCCACCCTGCTGGAGGATCCACTAGGTTTGCTCCGAGCAGAGCCTGTGTATGACAACCTCGGCCCCCGTACAACAGCGGACGGCAGCTCTGTTCTGAGTCTCAACAAAGCGGAGGCAACACCCATAGTGAGGCCCCGTCCCACACCACAGCACTGCGCTACACTCCCTACACCTCGCCGCGCCCCAAGACAAGGGCCTGAGGGATCTACTGTCTCTCTCCCTCGTACTGTGTCGGCCGAAGGACCTCTTTCGCCTGCCAAACCTAAAGTGCCCCCAAAACCTCCTCCAAAACCCAAAAAGAACGGTCCTTTGTACGAGGATGAAGGCGAGGATGGTACAGAGGTCTGAGGAAGACTTGTCCTAGATCACTGGCGACTTGTGTCCGCTGTGCTCGTGAGTTAAAGTGAGTGACTTGTAAATGAACACATCAAAGTGATGTCAGTGTAATTCTACAGGGTACCAAACATGACACTCGGGGTTAGATAAGGTTGGTAGCTGTTGCCAGAAATCTTGCCTTTTTATCAATCTTCTGTATCATAGGCCTAAATTGAAAATAATTTTGTTACACAAAATCTTACAAAATATACTCTTCTATTTTTATAGATTTTTTAACTGTAGGATGACAGATATAATTTTTTATTTGATGTTAAGAGGTGTTTTTTTTTTATTATATATTTTTTTATTATTGAATATGTATTCATTTGATTTTGCTAGTTCATCTCTGCAGATATATTTAGTTCTGTTTCTATAGTTAAAATCATTACAATGAAGTACTGTATTATCAGTGTTAACACATCAATATAATTGAAGGATTAATTTTTTAATAATTAAGTAAGTCCCTTAAAGTATGGTTTGTATACTTTTAGAAAATGATATTAGCCTATGTTCTTAAATGTCATTGTTTAACTGTTCTAATTATTTATCAATATAACTGTTACATGGTGTTATTATTATAATGATAATATATTTTTCTACCCAAATATTTGAGGATAAGTTTTGTTTTTTAGTCAATGTTAGAGAGGAATGGATCAAGATTTGGTGTTTTTGTTTTGTATTTTTATACATTTTTTTTAGTTTACTTATAGTGCGTATATCTATATGATTGTATTTTTAATTTTACATTACCTTTTTGTGCTATTTTGTTGTTTACAGATTCTTTAGTTACTGTTTATTTTTCTAAGATTTCTTAAGTAAATGATCAAACCCTTGATGGTCAAATCACAGAAGAAGTTGTTATGAAGTTAGTTTCTGTGGCCAATTGGATGACTTGTGTCAAAGTCTGTCTATGTCAATCGATTCACTGACTTCAAAATGGGCTGACAGACTTGTTGGCAAGTTCGAGGCTCATGTCCAAACTTTGCCTTGTGGAATAGAACTTTGGTAAAACACAAAGTTCAAAGTACAACCAACTAGGTTACATAGTAATGATGTTTATTTTTAGTCATCTAAACCCTAAATAAGCTGAGGGTTCATTTAAGTTTTGAGTGATATTTTGAGCTTATTAGAACTACTCTTTTAAATTTTTTTGCGATCTTGTTAACAATGATAGAAAAAGTACTCAAAATAATTTTGTAAATGAAGCGGGATAAGTTTGTAACTAGTGCTTTGATTTTTTAATTTAAGAAAATACTAAGTACTAATTTATTATTTTGACATGGGAAAATAGTCCATTAAAAATACATTGGCAAAATATACTTTTTTTATTTCGTTTAATAGTGCTCCAAAGATTAAGGATAACCATGTCAAACTTTAAAATCAGTTCTGTCATATCTCATAAAACTGAAATATTTTTCAAAGGTACTTTAGATGGTAGGATTTGATGGTGCAAATTAATGTTTGCTAAAACATTCAATGATTATACCTAAGATCATAAAGGTTTCTGACAACAGCATAAGGCAAGTGTTATACTTATCACTTTCGACTGTTATGATCTACAATACTATTTTGTACAGTGTGTAAAAGTCTATATAATATATATATGCTTTTATTTAAGTATGTGTATTATAAAAATCTATAAAACAATTCTTTATATTTTTTTATGTATGCTTCCAAAATGGAACTTTCAGTGCCTTTTTAGTAGTATGTAAATAATATTGTACATACATAATTTTATATGACATGTATAGATTCCAATTTTGTTTGTTTTGTGAAATTGTTCCTTTTATTTTAAGACTGAGATTGATTTGTTTATATGGGACCACTGTTCTGTTACTTGTTTGAGGTCAAAGAATTGTTTATGTATTGTAAATATGGTATCAAATGTACTATATCTTCTATGGTCAGTTTATAATGTTTGTAAATAGTTATTATACCAAGTTACATCTGCTAACAAGTAATATTTATATACCCATTAGAATTCTTCTTTTTCATGTTTATTCCATTAAAGAAATTAAGGTAGGTATTATACCTTGTTTGTGTCAACTGCAAATGTCAACATTTAATGAACAATAAAAGCTTTTTGATCGCTACACCTGTTGTTCTGTTTATATTCAGTTTGTCCGTAGATTTACATTCCTACGACTCTACAAACTGGTATTTTAGCAAATTCCACAGATAGGGAATAACTAATAAGCTTTTACCGTAGGTCTCATGGTAGGACGTAGACTCGGGATATTTAATTTTTAGTTTTTATGTCCCTCCAGAGGCCAAAAACACCACCCTTTCTAATTTAGTTTTTGTCTAGTCTCGAATAACCTAGCGTATAAGAGGTTAATTTACATTGATTTTGTCTTGTGATTCTTATACTTTATCTAAGATTGGATGGTGATCTGGACTGGCCGAACAGACATGTGGACCGGAAAATGCTTACCTTTGGCCACAGTACTATAGTTCGGCCACTTACATAGCAGCCTCCTCTAGCATTGGTTAGCATTAGCGCAAGTCGCTATCTAAGCGGCCGAACAATAGTTGAATATTTGTTGTTTATGTCTTGTTTATTTACAAATGTGTGCATATTCAATATTCTGAAAACCTCAATATAAGTGAAAACTGATCTTCTTAATGTGCGTCTGAAGAAGGTGACTTTTTAAACGATCCTCTTGACCCATAGAGAAGGGATATGAATCACAAAATAAAGGTGAATTACCCCCTTTAAAATCATTAATATTCAAGTATACCGGGTGGAAAAAAGTCCCCGAACAGTTAAATATTTCAAAAAATAATGAAGATAGAGCTACCAAACTTAGAACAAAGTCACTGGTCAAAATCCTCGTTATCCAGTGATGCGGGGTCCTCAGGGGAGACGCCCTACTTTGATTTTGATTAAATTTGGGACAAGCAAGTTGTGATAATGTTTATTCAAAGAAGTTTTTGAACCAACATGACTATGGATATGAACAGGGTTTTATAGGGTCAAAAAATTGTACTTTGAAATGTTAATGTATGCTTAATGGTAAAAGAAAAAATCTCAAAAAAACTTAAATTAAAATTTGCATGTTATTCTTATTGCGAATAATTAAACAGTTGTAGTTTGCTTATTTATTAATATTGTTTCATCAAATTTAGCCATTCATTTGTTACAAAGCTATCAAAATGTAACTATAAAACACTCTCTACAATTCTCTCCTTGTAGCTGCAAACCTTAGTACTCATTTAACATAATGGTTTTCAAATAAAGATTGTTTCTGTCATGTTAATGAAAACATCTCGGTGAAAATCCAATCAGGTAATTCAGGTAATCAGGAAATTCGCCTAGTCTGTAGGTTTGCTGAGGCGAGGTATTTTATGTTCCTCATTTTTTAAACAATATTCTGCCTAGTGCTGAAAACAAACAAACATGTAAGTTTTGGGATTTAATTTTATTGATATATGAAGAAATGTACAATCCCACAAAGGAGTGGTGATGTAATAGAACATTGCAGTTTAAAACAGTGATTTTGTAAACTTGATGGGTTGAATGTAGGTTTCTTAAATCACTACTATGTCAATTTCCCCACTTAACTAACTCAACTTTCTAATTACTTAATAAACTTTGACTTTGTAAAAATTATGACTTTATTAAATTATACTATTAAGTGTGTGTCAACTTTAAACTTTGTATCACCTTTCAAATCTGTTACAAAGTTAATTAAGTAAATCGTAATAGTGGACAAATAAAAATAAATAATATAATTAGATTTAACCTTTTTACTCCTGTTTAATATGTTTTGGTTAGTTAAGAATAGGTCTCCAAAGCCCAAGCCATAAGATCTGATGACCCGGCCACAATGTCCTGGGTCTACTCGCCATTGGGCTTGAGCTCATTTCTGACATTAATTTCGCTTAATAATGTTTTACTGGCTGCACTAACGACTCTCTATCTCTATCTCTCTATCTCTTCTACTTTGATATTTAAAAATGTGTCAAAAATATCTTTTGATTTTTAAGAGGACATAAGTACTAATCTATACTTATTTAATACGCAAGCAGGTTTTTTGTGACAATTACTCCTCCAAAACTACTGAACCAATTGACATGTTTTTGGTGTCATTGGAAAGAGCGTAACGTGAAGTTGTGCAGGAAACTTTCTTTTTAGGGAAATAATTAGAGAGTGAGGCCCCGGGTCCCTTTAAAGTTTCGTATTTCTCCATAAGATTAACATGGGAAACAAACATTGTTATGAAACTCCAGCTGTTGTCAGAAATGCTGTTCTGCTATTTAATTTAATTTGTTTACAAGAACAATTTTTCTTGGTGTCATGTGGTCAATGAATTATACTTTTTCATATATTTCAAATGCAATATACTATATAAAATGATAGTAATACAATAAGAGATCTTCATTTAAATAATCAATAAGCACGATTGAGCCTTTGCCTATATGTTTCCTGGTAAGCAGAGACAACCATTAAAGTATTATATTGTCTGTGCTGGTAAGTGTGTTGTAACTGTTTCTTATAGTATCTTATAGTAAAACCGAATTATTCTTTTCTTCATTCTCATCCCGTAGCGAAGCACGGGCAGAGCAACTAGTATCTTCTTTAAAAGATAACTATAAACATATAAAATAAATTAGAGGTATTACTTTATTTGAGTTTCTCAAAACAAATTTTATTCCACAACCTTCTTCAGTCGATTTCTTTGAGTAAAGTAAGACTTAATGTGCCTAAGAACACTATCCTAACTATTTAGTATTTTATTTTGGGTTAAATGAATTAAATAGATCCATTTCAAAACTAATTTGGGTTTGTTTATTTTATATTTTTTATCTACTGTTATTGGGGAGCGTGAAAAATAAACAACATGTTTCAATGACTAGAGATGATAAAAAATACCCCCGCCGCAGCAAACCTGCCGACTAAGCGAATTTCCATTTGTCTTAATTGATTTTCAATTAAATATATTTTAATAACATTAGGTTTAACGAGTACCTAGGTTTGCTTCTACAAAGAAACTAATAAAGTGTGTTTTTTTTTTAAATATTGATAGCTTAGTACAAAATAAATAAATTTGATCAAAATACAAAATATATCCATAAACAAGCAAACTACAACATTTGACAATATTCTCCATAAGAATAACATGGGAATTTTAAATTTACAATTTTTTTAATTTTCTCCGTTACTATTAACCGAACAAAAATACTTTTATATACTAAATTAATTGTTTTTTTAAGCTCTTTAAAAAGGTCTAAAGAGAAATTGAGAAATTTTGTGTTTTGAGGGTCAAAAGTGAGAAAAACCAATTTTTACCCCATAAAACCCCCTGTAAAGCCCCGTTCCCAGGGTCCGATCATGCTGGTTCGCGAACTCATTCAAGTTTATCTCGCTTTACACCTTTACACAAAAATTACTCAAGTTATCACGTTCACGGACGTATATATATATATATATATATATATATATATGTATATATACAGGGTTAGTAAAAAGTGTGGAGACCCCCTGTTATTTTTTTAACGGCCCATACTAGAAAAACTAAACTCGGCACACCATTATGGCATGTTATGAAGTACTTTCTGGGCATAACCGCCACTTGGCGTTCATCCCCAAGATGGGGGATTTTGGGGGAAACTAAAAGATTTCAAATACAAAGACCCATTGAGTGACCCCTCATTTTGAAGGTCCCGGTAAAAGAAAACCAACAACGAAAACTAGAGGTCTCTATCTCAGTTCAGTAAAAAATGGCAGCCAATTGAAATTCTCATAAGTTCTCAAACCCAAAATGGGGGATTTTGGAGGAAACTCAAAAATTTTAAATGATAAGAACCATCAAGTGACCCCTCATTTTGAAAGTCATAATAAAAGAAAAGTAACAACGCAAACTATAGGTCTCTATCTTAACACAGTAAAATATGTCAGCCAATTGAATACAAAATTGCAAGTTATTTCCAATTTCTAAAGATTTCAATCAGCTTCCATTTTTTACTGGATTGAGATAGAAACCTCTAGTTTGCGTTGTTAGTTTTCGTTTACCAAGACCTTCAAAATGAGGGGTCACTCGATGGGGCTTATCTTTTAAAACTTTTGAGTTTCCCCCAAAATCCCCCATTTTGGGTTTGGTAAGCAAGTGGCTATTATGCTTAAAAAGTACTTCATAACATGCCAAAAAGGTGTGTAGAGTTTAGTTTTCCTAGTGTGAGCCGCTACAAAATTCACAACAGGTCTCCAGACTTGGAAAGCTGTGAGTTAAATTGAACTTCTGAGAATTTCAATTGGCTACCATTTTTTACTGAATTGAGATAAAGACCTCTAGTTTGCGTTGTTGGTTTTTTTTTTACCAGGACCTTCAAAATGAGGGGTCACTCGATGGGTCTTTGTATTTGAAATTTTTGAGTTTATTCCAAAATCCCCCATTTTGGGGATGAACACCAAGTGATGGTTATGCCCAAAAAGTACTTTATAACATGTCATAAAGGTGTGCCGAGTTTAGTTTTTCTAGTATGGGCCGTTAACAAAATAACAGGGGGTCTCCACACTTTTTACTAACCCTGTATATATATATATATATCTATATATGTATATATATATATATATATATACATATATAAAAATTTGAACGAAGGGTGTTTTTGGCCTCTGGGGACATCAAAATGAAAAAGTAAATCGGTCCGTGCCACCTACGGTAATAGCTACTTCCCTATAGGGAAATTCGCTAAAAATTATGCTCATACCAATTTATGTTATTGCATATTTTAAAATTACAGAGTTATTATTTTTTCAGCGATAAGGGTTGTAGTTGTAATAAAATAATTTGTTATAAATCAATTTGTTATAGATGTGTCTGTTTATGATATTATTTTAATTATTAAACCCAATTAACCACTACCGAGCAAGGGGCTTGGTCCCCAGACTATTCAATGTTAAAAAAGTTATTTATACAGTAACTATATATAACTAAACCCCTAGACTGTTAGCGAACAAATGGAAGCATCAGAAGCTATATAACCTATGGTAATTTGTTGGGAAACATCTCTGCTTCATATTATGTATTTCCAATCTTACCAGTAAAAAGGAACCCCTTAAAATAACTTGTTTCGTAGAGC